TTTTGGGCCAAAAAAAAAAGAATGAGAGTAACTCATAGAGAATCCGATGAGCCCTTCCCAGCTTCGATGGCGGATTTGATTCAAAAATCCTCGTCAGTTTTGAATTCGTAGTTCTTACTTCCATTTTCGAGGCTTGACATAACCGATGCCTTCTGATACTCTCCCACTCTTTTCTCAAAGAAGTTTGTCTTTCCTCTGCAATTTTTGTCATAAAAGTACCAAAACCCACTTAATCAATGAAGAGAATACTGTTCTTGAAAACTTATTCTAAAATTTTGAGTTTTTTTTTTCGGATTCTAAGTTGAAAGAAACTCAGCGATTTATCGACTACTTACTGCAGAGATATGAATTCCATCCAGTCAAATGGATTTTCTGCTTTGTATCGCCTTTCACATCCCAAGGTAACCTACAGAAAAAAACGATGCCAAAACCAAATCCATGGGTTCAAAGTAAAAAGCAAATCCGAGTTTCAAAATGCCCGAAACAAAAGGGAACATAAATTTATTTTACCAGAAGACGGTCTGCGACAAATTGTATGTACTGACTCATGAGGTTTGAGTTCATTCCAATCAGATCACATGGAAGCGCCTTGCAGACAAACTCTGTCTCAATTTCCACTGCCTCATGAACAATCTCATAAACTTTCTCCAGGGGAAGCTGCTTCTGCAGCAAACTGTACAAAGTATGTATGATAAGATTTAAGCAGTGAATGGACCACAGAGCTGCTCATAAAACCAAATGTCGCTCTCAGTTACCATAGAGACTTATTCTTACCTGTACAAGAGACAAGCAAAGTCACAGTGGAGCCCCTCGTCTCTCGATATCAGCTCGTTTGAGAAGGTCAAACCCGGCATAAGACCTCTCTTCTTAAGCCAGAAGATGGCACAGAAGCTGTCCAAAAAAAGATGTAACGTATACAAAAACTCTGCTTTTAAGAGCTACATATACGCAGCAACCCTAAAAAGATACCTTCCTGAGAAGAAGATTCCTTCGACGCATGCAAAAGCAACCAGCCTTACAGCAAAAGACATAGGACTGCAGACAATGATACACTGTCAGATAAAAGTTAGGATCATCTTCTATAATTAATCACATTTGTAAAGTTGCACTGTTACTTCAACGAACTACGCATTCTAAAAATCTAAGCAGAGAAACTCAACACCAGGTTTGGTTACCTTTGAATCCAATCTAATGACCATTGTGCCTTCCTGGAGATGCAAGGAATGGTCTCAATAGCGTTGAACAATCTATCCTTCTCCTGCGAATCCTTTATATAGGTCTCCAGAAGTAAGCTGTACATCTCTAGAATTTGTCAATAGAAAAATGTTTTGAATCAGTTTTACTTGGTAGACGCGTCAGTGGAAAACTAAAATGTTACGAGTTATAGGTAAAAATGATCACAGACGACAATTTCCAAGATCAAGACTCAGGTCGTAGTCTTATTTAAAACTATTCTGATAAAATCTAGAAACAACCAAACCCTATCAAGCTCCTCGGAAGTTTATGTAATAGCGTAGGGATCCCTATGAAAACATACAATATATTTAACTAAGCTTGTTTTCACCCTTCATTCAAGTATATCTCAGGGTTTAGCAGTGAATTCGCAACAGAAAACATTTGAGAATATGCAGGTTTCACACACACAAAAGATCTAGACTTGATAAACTTCTCAACTTACAAAACCTTACCCGAATGAATGTTCTCCATGGCAATTTGAAATCCATAGAATGCACGAGCCTGAAAATCCAGAGAGTTGACAAAAGTAAGTGTCGGCTTCGAGATATATCGTGCCCTAGCAACGTATATTACTATACTCGGAAAGGTGAAATGCTCACCTCAGGAACTTGAACATCATTCAAGAATCTAGCAGCCAGATTCTCCAAAACAATTCCATCTGATGCGGCGAAAAAAGCCAGAACATGGCTGATAAAATGTTTCTCAGAATCAGACAAAGTTTCCCACTGTTGCACATCAGTGGAAAGATCAACTTCTTCAGCTGCAATCATTCCATTTATAATAGTAAAAAAACAAATCATAATGATATTACCAGAAACAGAACCATTACACACACACACACATAACATGTCTAAATAAAGTCATCATCTGCATCAGAATCAGAACCACAACCACAAAACATCTTTTTCCAACTCTCAAATCCAAAACATCTATTACCAACCAAAAGAAGAAGCTTTGCATTTAGAATCAAATTGTATGATTGAAATTGGAGAGAAGAGAGGACTAACCAGTCCAGAAACTGGCTTCAGCTTTCTTATACATCTCCCAAATAGGTTTGTACCTAATTGGGAACATAGAGAATCTCTGGTTCTGAGCCATCAAAAGCGGCTCATCCGATTCATCTTCCACCAAGTCTCTCTTTTGATCGTTCTTCAGAGAACCCATTATCACGAATTCGTCTCTCGATTTCTACCCAATCTCAATTCTGTTCCTTTTTGAGGTTGAGAAAACAGAGGATATTAGATAGAGATAGGTTTAAGGGGAAAACCCTAAACAAAAACCCTCGAAAACCGACAAGAAGAGAGACAAAACAAAAAAAAAGCTCTTGTGGTGTATTTTGTTTTTGTCTCTTTGGATATAAGCGAAAGCGATTCCTCGTGATCTTTCGTCGGGATTTTCAACGCAAAGTATCTGACTACAAGAAATTGTGAATAACTTGTTCTAAGATTATAGACCATATAGAGACATAAGTTTATAACCACAAAACTCAAACAGTTTGATTCGGTGTAATCGGTTTCGTTCTCTCAATTTCTTCATGTCGTTTTGGTGCAAGTGATGTCCTTTCGAGCGTTTGATTCCAGTGATGTCGGGGAATTTTTGGGTTACTAATCCGTGATTGTTCTCCTATTTCATGGTTTAAAGAAGTCATTTGAGTTTCGATCCCATATTTATTGGTGGTATAGCCACTCTATTTGAAGGAATCAAATCTTCTAAAAATCGAATAGGGAGATAAACAAAGTCAAGATATTTCAAAAAAAACTATGAGGAAAGCTTTTGTACCATGTCAACATTTCAGAATTGTTGTCAAAAGCATCGAATTTTGTAATTTGGAGGGTTTACCCAACAGATACGACCCATGCACACACGCGCAAAAGAGAAAGATCGAATAAGAAGAAAGAAAATAATGGATTTAATAATTACTTAGTAAATAAGTCTTGTTTATGGAAAATATCGTCCTATTCACTACTCTGATGTATCTTTTCATTATATGACATATATCTTGCTTGTGTAATTCTGAAAATTTTGTTTACTATATTTGTATCCTTGATTTGAAATTAATGAAACTGTTAAATGAAAGCAAAAGTAAAATATGCAATAAATCGGATAATTATTGCGGTCGGGCGTTACAAGTGGTGTAAGGGCACTCTTATGACACTTATATAACTATTTATAAAGTTCTCATAGCGATCAGTCCAATACTTTGTTCCCAACACATATCTATGTGATTGACTTTAATACAACATATCAATGAATTCACGAAACTTAACCATCAGTCACCTCACTTACCAGTCATAAATAGTTATTAATGTCTCCTGATAATAACTTTGACTAGAGACCTCTATAATTTATGTCACCTTTCATTGATAGGGTTTCATGATCAAGTCACGTACTTGATGACCTAATAAGAATGATATAAATTATTTTGGGACTATTATTTAATTATCCAAT